TTCTGGTGTTGGGGTTTTTGTTTTATTTGCTGTTACAAAGCCTTAATAGCTATTTAAAGAGAGATCTGTTGAAACTACATTAATCTTGTATGTGAGAAATTAAAGCAGCTGTCCATGGGATGTACTCTGTATCTGTTATCTGCATTGCCAGGTGCATGGAGGATGTGGAAGCAGTGCTTCCATCTTGGAGGACATGTCTTTTCTTACTCAATATCATGCTTTCTAATCTAAAATGTGATTATCAAGTCTGACAGAAGCTTTGTACAATCCTCTTCAAGCAAAGATGGCTATTTTGCTAATAACTAGACAAAGTGCAGGGTATTTACTCAGGAAAAACCCCTCATAATCCTCAAAACCCTCAGTATTGATGGCAGATTTGCACTTAGTTGGTTTTTTCCTTGTTTCTTTTACTTGGAAGATTACCTCTGAAGGAAGAAGCTTGGTTCATTATTAAATCTCACAGCCAGCCAGGGACATAAAAGTTCATTCAGCAAGTGGCTGCTTACAGAGGTCTTTTGCTTCCTCATGATGTTCAGACTAATGTGGGCAGGCTAGTGGTAATTCTCACATAGCTTCTCAATGTTCAAAGACATAGTGCCTTGTTAGTAGAGAAATTTTGCCATAGGAAGATGTCCAGTAAGCACTATGTCAGTCCTATAGCTTCACTACCTCACTGTATTAACGGTGTTTGTGTATGTTCATGGCAAAGTTATACAAGTGCTCAAAGTTAATGTCACTTCTCAAAGAGAAAAACTACAGATCTTTTTTACGGTTTATTCATCCCTCATCCTGACAGCTCTGGGTCTGAGGAGAAAAACTGGTGATGCTTGAGTGCTGTATATCTAGTTTGTTTTTAGGGGAGTTTGTACATGCTGTTGAATGTCCTTCACCTCTGTTGGTTCTCTCTGCAAAGTCCTGTTTATCATCAGCTGTGCTGGTTTCTAGATCTCTCTCTGAATGTAAGTGAATGGCACACACATCGTCTGAGCTGTGGGTATCAATAGGATGTGAAATGTCATCTGGTGGAGAGGGGGGCAAGACAGGCTGCCATCAGCTGGGGTTTGGTGAATAGGCAGGAGACAAGAATGCTGTGAATGAATGATTCACGTATGAATGAATAAAAGCTGATGCAGCTTTCTGAACTTGTGAAAATGACAGATTCATCCAACAGACCACATCGGACAGTGTTTACTCGAGCCATTGAGGCGTGTGATCTGCACTGGCAGGATCTGCACTTACAGCACATTATCAGCAGTGACCTATACACCAACTACTGTTACCATGACGACACTGAAAACTTGCTCTTTGACTCTCAGGGGTGGCCCCTCTGGCATGGTAAGTAGCTAAACCGGAAAGACGTTTCCATGACTTGCTGCTTTGTTCATTTTCTATGGCATTATTTTGTGGGGGGGAGGTGATGGGGAGATGGATGAAGAGCCTGGCAAAAAGAACAGAGGCTCCCTTGAAATGCTGGCTTAGAAGTAGTCCTTTAAGTCTCTCTTGCATAGTTTTAAAAACAAAACAAAACAGGAAAAAAATAAACAAAAAAAAGCCCTTTTGAGTAACCTAGCAAAACAGGCCACTGCAAATATGGAAGCATTGATGTTCCTCAATTATTTTCTCTGCTTTAGAACATGTTCCTACAGCCTGTGCGAGGGTGGATGCACTACGATCTCATGGATATCCACGAGAAGCACTGAGGCTAGCAATAGCTATTGTTAATACACTGAGAAGGCAGCAACAGAAACAGCTGGAAATGTTCCGGGCTCAGAAGAAAGGTAAATGTGGGGAAGAGAAGGGCAAAGGGCATGCAAGTGGGCAGTAACACCAGACAGGAACTTCACATGAGGAAACTGGTTTTGAAACTGAAGTGAATGAGGTGACTTTTAACTCTTTGGTTCAGATAGTGGTAATGTCACATTCTGGATGTCAGATTTTCTGTAAGCTGTGTTGTGAGCTGTGCAGGGCTCTGTTCAGCCTTCTGCAATATATCTGGTATGATGGGGCCTTTATCCCAATCAGGGGTTTTGGTTACAAAGTGAAAATAGTCACGCTGTGTAATTTACAGGCTTTTGAACAGAACTTTGCATTTGGTGTGTCAGGTGTTTAATTTTTCTCTCTCTGACATAAAATTTGAGGTGTAAGCCTGAAGTGGACATTGAGGGTAACAATGAGGCAAAATCTGCACTACAGAAATTCATCAAATTTGGCAGTGTGTTCCAAGAGAATCTTCTAATGCTTACAATTTCAGTGTTTCTGAATAGAGGGGATTGGTGTTTTTTTGGCTGGTCGGTCATTGGTTTTGGTTTTGAAATGCTGTTTTTTATAAAAGATTTTGTAGTGTTTCTCTGATCAGCTACCCTTGGATTTTTTGAAGGAATGTTCTCCTTCAGATACAGTTTCTGTCATGTGATGCTTGCAACCCAAAATAATCCTGCACTGAACTTTTTTAGTTTGAAGTGGCAGTGAAGAAGGGGATGGCTTTGTGGTGGAAGAATGCGTGAGAAAAATTAGAATTCCTTTCTCAGCTGCTACAATAATCCCTTTATTCCAATTTTATTTTACCTTTTCTTTTCTACTCTTAAATATGTATATTCTCATGCATTGTAGGTAAAAATACCAGTGTGAAGTCATACGTGTAAATTTTTGAGTGTGTGTTCAGATGTTTTCCCAGAAATAGGTATTTAGAAGACAAGATATGCACCTAGCTGAAAAAAATTTAGCTGCAGTTCCTATGTGTCTCCATATTTTTTCCCATGGTACTCAAGGAAGAAGGTTTTCTTTGAGCACTGTTTTTGGTAAGAAGAGAGGTGTCTATGTGTCTGTGTTCATACTGCTGGCAGGTGTGATGGGTCTGTTGCAGGTTGTGTGCTGGTTGTAATACTGCTCCTCTTCATTCCCAGTTGCTAATGCAGCATGTACACATTCAATACTTGTGTTAATTTCCTTTCCCTGTGAGCAGTTTCTCTAGCTATCAGCTAATATAAGGCTATTATAAATAAAAAATGGAGCACATGAAATGTGAACTGTCCTACCCCAAAACAAAGAAGTTTGTTGTTTCTGTGTTGTCACTCAGTGCTTTTTTTACACTCAAGTAGAATTTTTAAAAGTTGCTCTTTTTATACTGCAAAATGTGCTGGTCTTCTCTATAACCAGGTGAAGTCTACAGCAACAGCCCAGTTTTAGGGTTCAGTTCAACAAACTCCACATCCCTCTTCTTAGCTTTTATTCATGTGACTGATCTGACATCCATGGAAGCACTTTTGTGATTTAAAGTTAAATGTCTCTGAATAGAGGATTGAAGTCTTTGGTTGACATAACACAAGCGAAGGTCGTAAGTAGGCACAATAGAATAAATAAAACATAGGTGAGTCAGTAAGAAGTCACTCTGATTAATCCTTTTTGGTAATACTACTTGCTTCTGCCTGTCATCTTTTGTATGTGCTATTTGTAAGTAAGACAGTGATTTACTCATTTGTTTTTCATAGTGCGTACCAATGGATTCTTTAAAAAAAAACCTACCTTCCTGACAAGTATGTCTGTGATTCACTTTGTAGCCCCACACATTTAATAGGCAGGAACAGGACTTAAAAGCTCTGTGATAGCAACATATGGTTACTCAGAAATATGACATTTCATGAACAAGATAGAGTGGAGGCAGGTACAAGTGTGACAGGCAGAGAAGCTGAGCATCCATAAAGACTCGTATACAGTTTTTAAACAGTCACTCGTGATGCTTCTGACCTCTCATAGTTCCGTTGTGTCTGTGTGTCTAGGAGGAAGAAAGTTGGGAGTTAAAGGGAAGCTGTTACCATAGGGCTCTTAATGAAAAAAAGATTTGGAGAATCTCTAATATTTGTTACCACAATCACGCTTCCTCCAATTCACTGCACATAACAATTTTTTCATGTTTTAAGCAAATGATGGGTGAGGGCTACAGAACAAACTATCTGTAAAGGTATTTGTGGACTGAAATTTTAAAATGACCAGAAATACACCTTATCCAATCAAAGGGCAGGTTTTTTTCTTGTGTACCTCATTTAAACATTTGATTTTGTTTTTTTTAAAGTAGCTGTCATCCTGAGTTTAATGAACTTTTTATATACATATATATATATAAAAATAAATATAAATAAATAGATCTAGGGTAAGCTCATAATTTATGAAATTGGGTCATATTTTAGAATATTTTCTTTTTTTCAGTTCTATCAGATTATCTTAAAATGTAAAAGTGGAACTGTATCATTTTGAGTGAGGAAATAGTTGTGAATATTCTACTAAAAAAAAATCTTAGTTGTATTTCTTCATTTTAAGAAGAGTTACTGGTATCAAGGAAGAGATTTCAAGAGACATTGCAGTCGAAATTTTTAACCCATAATACACTTTGCTAGTGCTCAAAAAGTTTGGCTTCTATTCTTTCTCTTTTTTTTTTTTATTTCATCTTTTACACATTCACAAAGGGCAGTGAGGCAGTGAATTCATGCTGAAAGATACTACTTTCTATGCAGAAGCTAGTGGAAATACTTTGAATTCTGTACTGAGAGCATTTCAAGCAGTTTTACTTGTATAACTGTTCTGAGAGGCTAATGTAAGCTCTCTTTCCTTTCCTCCTCCCTGCATGTTTTCTGTCACAGAACTTCTCCACAGAGGAGTAACCTCAGTAACGAATCTTGAAGGTTGGGTGGGACACCCTTTGGACCCCATTGGCACCCTTTTCAGTAGCCTGATGGAAGCCTCTAGGGTGGATGATGAGGGCTTCCATGGATTCTCAGACTTCACGGGTAAGGCCAAGCAAAGGGAGCAGTCTTCTATGTGTCTTCGTTTACCAGAGGTGTTTTTCTGTTTTGCCTTTTTGAATCAGCTTCAAAGCCACTGTTTTTATAGAATAAGAACTCACATTTGCATTCCTTAGGAAAACACGAGGGAGAGAAAATGTTTGAAGTAAACTAAGAAAGCACTTAAAAATTACCGATTACTCATTCTTGAAGGCAATTCTGTATTTCACACTTGAAATAAAACCAAATAAGACTTTATAGCACCAGTCCTCTCCACATACATTGCTCTGTCCTCTTTCTGAGAAATTGCAGGAAATCACAGGGTCACAGAGTTGCTGAGGTTGGAAGGCAGCTCTGGACATCATCTAGTCCACTTGGTCTGCTCGTAGCAGGGTTACCTAGAGAGCACATTGCCCAGGTCTGTGTTCGGTTGGGTTTTGAATAGCTTCAAGAGTGAAGACTGTTCAACTTTCCTGGGCAACCTCCTGCAGCGTTCAACTACCCTCATAGTAAAAAAGTGTTTTCTTGTGCTCAGATGGAATTTCCTGTATTTCAGTTTGTGCCTATTGCCTCTTGTCCTGTCACAGGATACCACTGAGAAGAGTCTGGCACTGTCTTCTTTACATTCTCCCATCAGATATTTATACAGTTTGGTAAGATCCTCCTGAGCCTTCTCTTTTCCAGGCTAAATAATCCCACCTGTCTCACTCTCATTGTATGAGAGGGCTGCAGTCCTTTAGTTACCTTTGTGTTCCCACACTGAATCTACTCCAGAATGCCCATCTACTGGGGAGCCCACAACTGGACACAGCACTCCAGATGTGGGCTCAGTCACTAGTGCTGAGAAGATGGGCAGGATTCATTCCCGCAGCCTGCTGGCAACAGCCCTGGATGTTATTGGACTTCTTAGCTGTAGTGTACATAATGCTTCAAAACAATGACAAAACACTTAAAATTGATCACAAACATAGTCTATAAATGACAGGAGTTGGAAAGTAGTGTTGCTATATCCATACATGATTTAGGATAGGAATAGGATGTGTGCACCCATTTTGAGTTCAGTATTTGCTTCCCAGGCGTTTAACTGATTAATTCCTTATTCTCAGTCTCTTTCCACCTTTGGGGTAGCTTCTTAACACCACTTGTGTGGACAGAAACTGGATTCATCCCTTTACCTGCAACTCCTTTATATATATATCAACAATCTTCTTGAGGCTTTGCCTCAAAACTGCTTTTATTCAATTAGATTTTCTTCAATAAATTTCTAATCTCCTATCCACTGATTCTGGAAGAACTTTAAATTAAAAAAAATGGAAATCAGATTCTCTGCAATTATAAAAAAACCAAAGCAACCCCATGAAATAAAAACATTTTGTGTTGAAAAGTAACTTCTGCACACACATATCCAATCTTCCAAATGCATTCAGCCTTTCCATTTGCTGCAGTTGCCCACCTCCTTACATCTGACAATTATAACTTTATGTTTCCAAATTAGATTGTAAAGTGCTACAGGCTGGAATAGAGTTTTGTCATATGCTGTCTGTGAAGTGCCAAATGAATTGGTAGCACTCTTTAAAGCAATTTATGGCTTGGCCTGTGTGGAATTTGCTTGTAATTGATACTAAAAGTAGGGCTTCTAATGTTAATAGTATGCATTTTTATCAGAAACACTACTGTAACAAATTAAAAGCCTGAAAGGAGTGCTAGCAAACAGAGGATACTTAAAAGATGTGGAGTTCCCAGGCCTGTTGTATTTGCACAATTCTAATAGCTTCAACTGAAATCTATACAGGCGTATAAGCACCTTTCCCTTCCTCTTACACATCAAAGCTTTAAGGAAATACTGAAGTGGGTGGGGAAAGAAATTGAAGTGGATCTTCCAATTTTGGCCTCATTAACACAAAGCTAGAGGAACTGCCTTTCTCTAAATTGTGCAGTTTAAAAATAAAAACTTTTATTTTTACTTGAGTGGGTTATTTAAAACCTTTTTCTTTCCTTTTTCTTTGTGTATTTCTGCCACATGGAATCAGATGACATATTTTAGATTGGATTTTGAGACTGTGCTAGTAATTTAAATAATTTTAAAAAATTAATACTACCAGAGGAAGCATTTGTATATGTAGCATTATAGGCAGATCGTGGGTTAGAATGGTTTGCTGATATGTTTTTCTTTCTATGTCACCCCTTACAGAGAACATGGGGCAATGCAAATCTCTGGAGTACCAGCACCTGCCTGCTCACAAGTTCTTAGAAGAAGGGGAATCTTATTTAATGCTGGCCGTGGAAGTAGCATTGATAGGGCTGGGACAGCAACGAATAATGCCTGATGGCTTGTATGCACAAGAGAAGGTTTGTCGAAATGAGGAGCAGCTCATTTCTAAGCTACAGGAAATTGAATTGGATGATACTCTGGTGAAGATTTTTCGAAAACAAGCAGTCTTCCTATTAGAAGGTAGCTGAATATAGATGCTAACTGCTCCTTTAAACTGCCTCCCCTTATACAAGCACACAGAAATAGTGTTCCTGTGTAAACTGCCTTACATGTCTCAGGTGGTTTTTTTACTTAGAACTCCAGGAAAATATATTTTCAGAACTCTTATGAAAATCAGACATACTTTAGATGTTGCATGACTGTAGAGATAAGGCATATATTGACCTTTAAACCTTTTGTTTTAATTTTGATTATACTTCCTTCTTTACATTTATTGTGTGTCATAATCTTAAAACCCGATTATACAATCCAGACTCACTATTATAGAATGCAGGCATCAGTTATTAACAGTTCCCAGGTAGCAAAATTCTAGGTATTCCTTGTATCCTGAACAAGGGACAGGACTGGCAGCTTTATAAATGTATGAAGATTTTTACCTCTGTTCCCAAGTGAAGAGTTCAGAAATTTCACTTAGAATTGCTGAGAGAGAAATGTAACTTTTTTTTTGTGGCAGTTAAGAAAAATTACTTGCCTTTGAAGTTTGTATCATATATGAGAATTGAAATATGCGTTAAAATACTGAGGCTTAAGACCTGGTCTTGTGACTAAGCCGTGACCAAGACAATTCGTGTTTGGGAATTCGCTGGCGTTGCAATAAAATATGTACATAGAAGTGCATACTTTTGCCTTAACTTTCAAAAAGTCTTAATATGTAGCACTTAAGCCTCACATTCAGATAGTAGTTTCATGGGTTCTGAGGTTGTCTTTCTGGTTTTTGTTTTTTTAAATGGAAGAAAAAGCTTTAAAGGAACCAGGTAGCCAAAGGCATGGTCCAGGTTTTTGAGTGCCTGCTCAAGGGGTGGAGGGAAGTGTGGTACTGCTCTAGGTAAGTTGTGAAATTGTTACAAAGTACTCAGGTTTGCTTTCTTTTTGTAAGTTGTTACTCTTTTAAAACTTCCCCTTTTGTGGAAGAAGTGCAGTATGTTGCTTAGGGTTCTCAGCTGTAAGTCACTATTTTTGCCCAGATTGTTAAAGACTTGTGCCATTGGAAATGGTAGAAAAGCTACACCACAGGGAGAGTTTCTGTCACAGTGTGGCCTTTGGACAAGAACTGCTGCTGTCTAGATCAAGCTATTAACTACCATGCAGGATTCCTATGTATTATAGAATCAATTTGCTGCATCTATTTACTGGTAAGGATGCTTTAGGAGGAAAAGACAGAATTTCTCTGACATATTCTGTGATAATTGAATCAGTTTACAGCTTTGATCACTGGAATTCTTCTAATATTTACTTAGAGAAGTAAAGAAGTGATCATAGCAGGAAATCTGCTAATATTTGGCTATTGTGAGTAGTGTGCAACAGTGGTCTTGCATTAGTGTGTGATGAGAAATCTGGCTTTTCTGCACTAGTTTGGTTGACTCCATGTTAGGCAGAAACTGACAGCCCAAACGGAGGAAAAGCTGTGCAGTGATTTAAGAGGCTAATTATATCAATTGTGGGTTTTTAGTAGAAGTCCTACAAATACAGTAAGGAAAACTTAATCCAATATTAAGCTGATTTCTGTGCTGTTAATGCAAATTAGTGCATGCTGTATGTAGCTACCACTTGAGTGCGTGGGAAAGCAGAACATTAGACTATTTTGCAAGAACCGTTCTAACTTTTTGCTTGACTGCTAAGTTAATGGCAGAATATATTTTCATATGAATCCTTTGTCTTGTATTCTTTGTGTCCTAACTGAGTTTCTGACCGCACCACCAACTGGCAAACATACATGAGACGGCTCCTTTCATTCAAGCAATGCCAACTTGTTTTGAATGGCTTTCAGCTTCATTTTAAATGATTATGAGACACACTGTCACCTACTAAATCTTCATTGACATTCCCTTTGTAATCAGCCCTGGCCTTCAGAAATGCCCACCTGTGGAGCTCAGAATTTTTTCATGCCTAGTGATTTTTTATTCTTGCAAGTTTTGCTAAAGCATCAGTCAAAAAACATTGCTGAAAAAGCTTGGCTGTTTCTCCTCATCTGCTTCAGTGTAGAGTAAGGGCATGTTAGTTTGAACTGCTGCTGGAAGCAGTTTAAATGCCACATGTGACTCCACAGTGAAAAAGTAAATTCACAGAGCTGGCCATCCATCCATCCATGCATCCAAGCGTGGTGGGTTGGAGTCTCTAGTAGAAGTTGTAGTAACTTCTAGGACTGCTGGATGCTATCTGTGCAATAATAGTCCACTAATACTTGATATAAGATTCTTAGTTTGTATCTTGCAACATTTAATGCCCAAATCTCTTGTCACTAAAATAAAAAACTGTTTGACACAGTTTTCCTGTTAATAGAAATAACAGTCTTAAGTTTGCAGGAAAAATATAGAAATGGGATTCAAATGTGCTATGAACATTTAGAACTTTGCAAATAAATAGTTTCATTTAACTGTGGTGGTGTTGTCAACCCTGATACTGCTGTTGTGAAGTTGAAATCTATACTCGCTGAGTGAGAAAAAGCCATTGCCTCAACAATGGGGGTAGTTTTCCCACAAAAAATAGAATTTTTAAGATCATCTGACTACAATGGACAAACAGAACCGAAGTGGACTTTGATGGACAATCTGATCTAGCATTCTCTGAATCACAGAATTGTTCAGGTTGGAAAAGACTTATAAGATAATCGAGTCCTGCCATTAACACAGCACTACAGTGGTCACCATTAAACCATGTCTCCAGGTGACACGTCCACGCTTCTATTGAATACATTCTGGGATGGTGGTTCCACCACTTCCCCAGACAGCCTGTTCCAATGCCTGATTACCCTTTCAGTTAAGAAGTTTTTCCTAATATCCAATCTAAATCTCCCCAGCCCTTGTTACTTCGGAGAAGAGCCCAACCTCCACCTGGCTGGTGAAACTTCCTGTCAGGTAGTTGTAGAGACCGATAAGGTCTCCCCTAAGCCTCCTTTTCTCCAGGCTAAATAGCTCCCTCAGCTGCTCCTCACAGGACTTGTGCTCCAGGCCCTTCACCAGCACCTCAATATCTTTCTTGTAGTGAGGGGCCCAGAACTGGACACAGGACTTGAGGTGCATCCTCACCAGTAGCCAGTACAGGAGGACAATCACTGCCCTGGTCCTGCTGGCCACACTATTGCTAAGCCAAGTCAGAATGCCACTGGCCTTCTTGGCCACCTGGGCACACTGCTGGCTCATGTTCAGCTACTGTTGACCAGCATCTCCAGATCCTTTTCCACTGGGCAGCTTTCCAGTTACTCTTCCCCACGCCTGTAGCACTGCCTGGGGTTGTTGAGATCCAAGGGCAGGATACAGGACTTGAGTCACAACTTGACCAAGTCCAGACCAAACAGTTATTTAAATGCTTGATGTCAAGTGAGATATTTGAGGGATCAGATGCTGCTATGGTGATTGGTCACGTAACTTGAATTAAAGATATGTTTCTACTGTAATCAGTCTTTTTTTTTCTTGGTGAATTTGTGATAAAGCAGTCACACATTAATGGGGTGCATAGGGATTGAAGCGCACAATGTAGCTGTGAGGAGGCAAAGCTGGGATTATGACTCTCTACTTATGCATACGACAGGCTGCTGAATTAGCTTTGTGGTGCACTGTAACCATTCTGTCATTCGTACGAGCACTAGTAGTGTGCCTAATACTATACAATTTGTAGTCTGTCTTGTTTTCTCAAAGGTATTTATGGTATATAACCATAAATAACCATATATAACCATGGTATTTAGCATACATTGAATTTATATATTTCACTGAAAATAGCAATATAACTTTAGCTTTTTAAAGCAAACTCTCTTTTTGGATACCAGTTCTAACCGAAGGTGTAGAGAATGCTTTTAAAGGTCCAGAAGTTGGGTTTTTGCGGTATGTAAAGACTGACATTCTGTTCCTCTTTTCTGCAGGTGGACCATATAGTGGTTTAGGTGAAGTCATCCATCGAGAGAGCGTTCCAATGCACACATTTGCCAAGTATCTCTTCACCTCTCTCCTACCTCATGATGCTGAATTGGCATACAAAACTGCACTGAGAGCCATGCGGTATGTACTCACGGATTGTCCAGAAAGAGCATCCAGTAGTGGATGGGAAAGGTGAAAAGGCTTGGTAATCAAGACCTAATCTATTTTTCTCAAATACACATTCTTCCCTTCAAGGACAAATTATTTTGGTTCTGTCATCTATAAAACTAATTGGTGTCTGTAGTAACTACAGTATAATAATTTGTAAATGTACTGTTAGTGTTTATTTACACCTGTAAAACAGGATTTCCTGTCACAAATCCTTCTAGAATCCCACTCTTGGAGCAGAGATTTTGTGTTATACAACCACTTTAGCATATGTATTTTCTCACCCCCATGGTTTTATGTTTATGATGGTATTGGTATCAGGAAATGAGGAAAGAGGCATTTCACCAGAAGTCTCAGGATCATCTGCTGCTCAGCCTGTTCAGTAGGACTATTTGTTTCATTGGCCTTCTTTATAACTGTGCTGGTTTAAAAGTTAACCAGCAGGGGAAATGAACTCAACTCAAAAGAGAGATTATAAGTCAAAATAACAATTTAATAAAACAATACAATAAGTACAATTATACAGACAAGCAATTGGTTTTAACCCACAAAACCCAAATGTATAACCCAGCACCCTGGGGCATGAACAAAGTGGTGTTCCTTGGCCCCCCTCCCACTGAGTCCAAAGTAAAGGGAGAGGGGAAAAACCTGCTGGTGGGAGAGCTGCTGCAGTCTGGTCAGAAGTGGTGATTGCAGTCCAGTTGAGGGTGGTGGTCTCAGTCCGGTTGAGAGCGATGAGCTGCAGTCTTCCTCTGGATCCCACGAAGTGGTAAAAAGGTTCCAAAACTCCAGGTTTATATATTCTCCAGTTCAGGCAGGAATGCTCAGTCCTTCCCTCAGAGCGGGGAATTCCATAAAAGGATGCTTAGTCCTTCCCTCAGAGCGGGGAATTCCATAAAAGGGTATGAGGATGCTCAGTCTTTCCCTCAGAGCGGGGAATTCCATAAAAGGGTATGAGGATGCTCAGTCCATAAAAGGGTATGAGGGTGCTCAGGAACATCCCCCCCCACCTCACAGGCCTCTACTGACAACAGTTTCTGGGAAAATGGCATGGAAGGCTATAGAATACACAGTTTTGGGCTACACCCATCCAGTGATGAATCGGTCCCAGCTGTTCTAACTAGGACAATAACTTAACTCTCAGTGATAGACTTGAACCCATATGGTGTGGTCTAAGCCTGTACATTTTTTTGTGCTTGCCCTCTTCTGGGTGAATGTTGGGATTTAAATGGAGTATATCCAATGACAACAAAATGTCTGGTTTGCATTACATTTGTCTTCAGTAATCAGGAAAAAGATGTTTCTCAGGGAGTACTCAGTGTGTGCTGGCTCTACCTCAGTGTGGACCAGATTGGTAATGGTGTCTAAGAAAAACCTTCTGAATGAGATTTCAAGGACCTAAATGATCAGCAATAAATCTGTTGTCCACATAGAATGCAGGGAAGAAACCAGTTCCATCTGAATTGTCTGGTCTCTGTCAAGAACCTAGTAGTTGATGGTTGACAAAGAATAGCCACAACTTAATAATAAGAGCAATCAAGTCCTAGAATTTAAAAAAGAAAACATGTTGAGTTTTCCTGGTCATTATTACCAAGCGTGATTGCACAGTGATTCAAGGACATGCTATCCACATAAGTAGTATTAGGTTCAACAAATAGTTTCTGCCTGTATGGTTTGGAGGTATTTATTCTGCAGCTACTTTCTCCAAAAAGCTAAATAGGGAGAAAATAATTCTGTATTCAAAGGACTAAGTGGGAGGCCGTGCATAAGAACAAAACACAGCTACTGTCAGGTCAGGCCAAAGGTCTGCATAGCCTGTTGGGTATTTTCCTGCCTCCAGGACAGCCTAGCAATGGATGTTATGAGAAAGAGTCTAAAAAATAGGAAGAGTGACCTCAGATACTTGCTGGTTATAATTAGCATTTTAGGAGATACATTGAGAAGACAAAAGTACATTACTGATTGCTATTGAGAATAGTCAGATGTATGATCAGAAAGCTGCCTGGGCCATCTAGGTATGCTCCTCTTCTTTTATCTCAAGGTAGGTGCATCAATAACTGGTTATATCAGATCAGGAAGATAGTACCAAATGTAGTAACTGGGGGGGTTTTTGAATCGTTTTTTGGTTGGTTTGGTTGTGTTTGGGGGGGGTTAAGAAAAAAAGATTAATTATTTTATAATTTGTATTTATTTTCAGTTGCTACCTTAAAATGTTTCTCAGAGATTGTTTGCGTGGTGTTTTCCTCCTTAAACTAAACTATTGAAACGATGCTGCAAGAGTAGAATAGACATCTATCAGCAGCTTTGCTTAGTGCACTGAACACTTCAGTAAACATGACAGCCTTGTGCTGGTCCTTTTGAACAAGGATTTGGGCTTTCCCCAGAAACCAGTTATAACTGAAATTTTTTTTTTTGAAAGTTTCCTTTCTCAACTAGAAAAACTAGCGAGACACTGAAAGATCCAACTGATGACATCTTCAGTTAGTCCTGGGTAGCTCCAGCCCTCTTTTGCTGTGAAGCTGTCATCTCGGCCAAAGAAGTTACTCTTCAAATAGACCAGTATAAGAAAGAGTTGTCAGTGTCCATCTGGGAAATCACAGGAGACATCAGTGCAATCAGGGCTGTTCTCCATAGCCCTTTTGTCATAACTTTATAAGATTGATGAAAGTTCAGCCCTAGACAGTAATCAGTCTTTTGGTAGCTTGATATTTGGCAGTCTTCAAAAAGGTGGACTTCTTTCTTGAACTGTGGTGATGGCAGATTTAGACACTTCCTATTCCATGTCTGTCTGCTTTCCTCCACACTTCTCAGATTCTCCTGAGGATGGTTGATTACTCTTTCCATTCACACCACTGTTAGTTCAGTGCATAAAGGACTCCCAATACATACCAAATGAAAAAGTAACATAATACTGCCTCAAGGGAGCAAGAATAAAACATGAAGATTGAATGTCTGTCTCATGGCTGAGTGGTTGAGTAGTCAGAAGATGAAAACTTGAGCATCTTTTCTTCCGTGGCAGGGAGGAAATGGCTGTGGCAAGGACAGAAATCTTGTGTGGAAATTAGTAAAGGTGCTGCATAGAAATCTCTCCAGCTGTTCATGCTTTTAGAAGTGAAGCATATTTCTTTTCTCACTTCAACTTTTATTAAAGAAGTTAACTTCCCAAGACCCCAGCTAATTGGTTCTCCAGACATAAGTGTTTACTGTCAATCTGCACACAAGACTGCATGGGTCAATGACCCACGATAGCAGCTCTGGAGTTTTTAATCTCTCTGTATTCAAAAACACCTGTTGCTGTTTAATTTTTTGAGTCCTGTTTCAGTGTGTGGAATGTTCAGTTTGAAATCAGTGGAAACTGATACCACAAAGCCCCTCATGTGTGCACCTCAGGTCTGAAAGGACAGGATTGTCCTATCCTCGATGGTCACTTCTGTCTACAGTTCTCTGCTTGCAGCACTGAAACACATGGAGCAGAGCCTTGGTAAATGTGGATCTGCAGTGACCTAGTTGGCTGCTCACTTGGAATCTGAACTTGAATATTTGGCTTAGTTTGGCTGATCCCTTCTTAAGCCTGAATTTCACCCAGGCTTTGGGAGCCAGATTTTAATGGTGATGTTTAATCACAAGGTAGCTTTGCTAAAACCTCACTAAATAATTGATGTTCCAAGGGGGAAAAAAAAGTCAAGAATGCTAAATCTCTTTGTGCTTTTCTGATGTTCCCTAATCTTGCCATAATTACATGAAAGCTACCAATTCACAACAACACTTCTTTTCACAGCAAAAGAGCACAGAAGCTGGCAGCGAAATTCAAAGTAACAAAAGATTTCCCCAAAACAGACTCCTTCTTTCATGCTCTTTTTCTATTTACTGTTATACATAACCTAATAATCCCTTTTTTCATTAGGTAGTTGGGATTTTACTGTTTACTGAAACCGTCTTATAAAACATCTCTCCCTGCAACCTCACTCTATGCTTGGGAAAAATCAGCTGAAGAGTTTATATTCTTACATATGTAGAGGTATCTTAGTGGTACTGGGGAATAGACTTGACTCAGTACAAGAGTAAAAAAGGAAGGGTTTGAGTTTTTTTCATATCAGCATGCACATACATGTGTCTGAAAATGTAATATAGCCTGCTGATAGGTATTTATGTGGTGTGTTGTATTTTTTTGTACCTGCTAGATGCCTTCCCATGTATTCAAAATTACCTTTCTCAGTGAATTCTTAAATAGACTATCATATTCTTTTCCTAAATATGCTATCGTATGCTTCAGGAACCTACAGAAAATTGATGGAACTTAAATCTGTTTTGCTGTGAGAAAAAAAGACATGCACGACAGTTGCTTACAGAGCTTAGGTATTTATTTAACTGCAAGAAATTGTAACATATTTAAATGAGGTTATTCCGTAAGAAATATTCTGTCACAGAAAAACACAATGCATTGGGTTTTCAATGTTCGGTAGTTGCAATTTGGTTGACAGAAGCGATCCAACCTCTTTATTCTCCCAACTGACTTTCTGCTAGAAAATCACTTGCATATGGAAGCTGGTAGAAACAAATCTCAGGTATTAACCCTCATCAAGAAACTAAGCACTGGAAAGCTTTTCTTGTGGACGTTGCCTTATTACTCTCATTTGATGTCTCATTAACCATTCATGTCCTGAAACTGTACTTAGTTGTATTGAAAAAAAAATGCCTAGTTTTGTTCACTCCTGCTTTTTGCATTGCCATTTATAGGGTATCTGGTGTACTTTCTGTATCTAGTGTATTGTAGGGGCCATCAGTTCAGTCTTTGTGGGTTGTCATTTGGATTGTAATAGTCAACAATAAACACATTAATTTGAATTTTCTAAGTATGAATGCTCTTTGTTGGATAAAGCTGTTGTAGATTGATGCATACTCGATTAAATTTTTGCTTCAGGATTAGAAAACAAGTGTCTGATAATGATTTTAGAAGGAAACTTCCTCTGTTGCTGCTATTTGGGACCCTAACATCAGATTTTGGTACATTATAAAATGTTGGTAGGATAAAGTTTAAAGACCTTAAAAAGTAGTCTGAAAAGTAGAATGTCCTTTTGGACATAATTCATGTCTGAATTAATTGCAAATCCAAATGACTTGTTGAAATCCAAATGACTTGTTGAATATCTTTCTCCATTACTTTGAGCATTTGGAAGTGAAGAAGGCGCGTTCCAAATATTGAAAAATATTTACAAGGTCTCAATAAAGCAAGAAATGCTCCACTTTCCTTCCTGAGGGCTGTGGTTCAAGGATTGAAACACTGGTAGGAATTAAAACTTCACCTCTGTACATGGTGCAGAAAATCTCTGCTGCCTTGGCTAATGAGTGGCTTCATTGTCCTGTGAATTTCTGCCCATTGATATAGGCAAGTTTGGCAAATGGACTATTAAGATTCCCCAAGAAGAGAAGTGGTTTTC